CTTTTTTTTTTTTTTTTTTTGACTGAATATAGGATAAACCCTGAGCAAGTTATTTTATTGGCCCTGGACCAGAAGTGTCTGGAAGTCTTAATGAAAACCAAGTGTAAGGCAAGTCTCAGCCACCTGTCCCCGGGACTCACAGCCAAGAACTCCGGGCTTCAATTAATCAGTGGATTCTGAGCTTTGGAAACCGTCTTCTGGATATTAAGCCAAGCGGCGTGGTAATGCCAGGGTGGGGGAAGGATAAGGCAACCAGCTGATGATTCCTGTTAACCAGGCATCAGCCAAATCCGTGGTGGCGTTAACAGTAAATCCACCTTCCCCAGAGTGCCACAAAAGCCCAGGGAAAGAATTAAAGGGGTGAAAAAGAGACACTTTTATGTTCCAGACCTCCTGATTTTACTATCCCTTCCCCTCCTCCCCTGAGCAACCTGTGTCTTACTTAACTCTCCGCTCTCTGGAAGTACTGAGTGGTTACTTTTGAAGGATAATCTAATCTGGGAGACATGAACTGCTTTGATTGTCTTGGACCCTGATTTCTTGAAACTTGCTCATCTCTGGCTTTAGCAATGGGGGGTCCTCCTACTTCTCTTTGAAAGAGACTGTTTCATTGCTCTGGTTTTCTTTAAAGCCCTGTCGTTCTGAGTCAGTGGGTTTGCTTTTACACTTCTTTCCAGAGATGATGTAGCGGATAGAGATGAAAGGCTAACAACTGTGATCCTTTTTCAAGTTTTTCCCCCAAATCTTGGATGATGTCTTTGCTGTAGGAACAAACTTTTCATCAGTGAGAACTAGAGTGGATTAAGAGGACCTCCTAATGAGAGAGCAAAAGTCACCATGGTTAATTGTGATCTGTTGTATCATTTTGAGAAGCCTTTAATTCATTGGGTAACAGTGCTACAAAAAAGATATTCTGAGGCACTGACTTCTTAAATGTAGGGGCAGTTCATGCTGTCCTGTGTCTCAAACATAACCTTGCAATCCATTGGAGCTAATTGAATACCCCCTTCTCCCTCATTTTCTTTTGTTGTAATGAATTGAGACTATATAGTGATTGTAGTCTTCTAAAAACCCATCAGACTATCTTATCTGGGAGAGGTCCTGAGGATGATGGACTCTTGCTATGACATTTATCCATCATTAGGGTACGGCCCAATACAGCCAATGACAACACTTCCATTGATGAAATAAAAGTGCAGGCTTAAGGCCTCGTAATAATTTATGAGCCCTGTCATTTTATGGATGCAAAACCTTGTGTTCTTTGCAATATCCAGTGAAACAGGCTACGTATGACGTACCTTCTGTGTCTTCCAAAGTACTCTAGGAAAGAGGGGCCCTGAGACTGTCACATGGACCGTTTCTCTAAAAATAAGCTCGTCATGAATTTGGACAGATGCTTTGAATGGCATGATGTTTGGCCTGTTGCTTTCTAGAATGAAGATCATTAAATGGAGTTGGAGCAGCATCTTTGTCAGTGAAGGCTCTCATCTGAAGGAGACCCTTGCCATCGTGTTCTTCGTAGGAAACATTGCCTTTGTGATAGCGCAGGTAAGTGTATCAGCTCGTTGAGTGACGGCGCGCTCGTCGTTCATACAGCTACGCTGTGCTTATTTCAGGAAGGATGCCCCATTTGGATAGGTTTTCCCTGTAGTGCAGGTCCTGTTCCTAAGAGGTAACTCGGCAGGTAACATGCTGGTGCTGAAAGGATAGCTCCAGGCTTACCTGTTGGCCTGGTTTGTGAGCTCCCACATAGAGAGAGGCATGTCCCACCGGGCGCAGGTATCCACCCACTCAAACACAGGTGCCGTATTTTGACATCATGCTGTAGGAGCTTTAAGCAGAGGCACTTGGTCTAATATGCGTGTTCATCTTTCCATTGCTAGGCTTTCCTCTTGCGTGCTGCATTTTGCTAAGAGAGAGCTCATGTTAGTCAGGGTATGGAGGTAAAACGGGATAAAATTCTGCAGGTTCGTTAGCTGGGATAGCACGTTCTCCCCCATTTGTGGGCAGCTGCTTGAGTGTTTCCCAAGAACCACTGAATGTATAGAGGCCTGTGGTGGAGAGGGAACATGGGGTGGGGAAATAATGAACCCTATATAAAAAAACAACTCAACCACGTGGCCCCACAGGGATGGTTTATGGAGAAATGCTCCTAGTCAGCATGTAGGAGGAACACAGGGGTACAGGAGAAAATGATGAGATCCTGGAGCCAGGATGAGATGGTGCAGGATGGCTCAGGAGACCTTTATTGCTGCTTCAGGCAGGTGCAGTATGTGTGAGTGGTGTCCCTTGGGCAACACATGGAGGGCTGAGCTGGAGACCTCATGTTGGTGCTGTTGGATCCAAAGAGCCCAGGCTCTGACAGTGGGCTTTGCCAACTTATATCCTCTGTGTTTTGGCCCAGAGGGATGTGTGTGACATACTCATTAATGCATTACATGTGCATCACACTGGCACCCACTGCCAACTGCAGCACAACAAGCGCAGAGCACACATAGATGCCTTAATTTCTTCCTCCTGTCAAGAGCGGTGAGTCTGAGAGAGAGAGAGTTAGGTTTGTCATACTATCCAGCTGTGACAAGAGCGTGCATTCATGGAAGTCAGGCCAAGGTTTGGCCTTGGATTTGGAAGGCAGCATTTCAAATATCTATTGCACATGGTGCATATAACAGTCTCTTTAGCCTCCCTAGGTTGAACACAGACAGGATGCAAAGAAGGGATACAAGTGCAACCTTTATGTGAGAAGTCTGAGGACTGAGCCTCCCCCCACCCCATGCTCCTTGCATTGTCAAAACTCCCATTTTGAACTGAAGGGGCATTTTGGCTGAGTAAAGCCTGAAGGGGAACATCCACCGCCGTGGGGGTGGAATATGTTCAGAACGTGTTTCTGACAGAAGAGCTGTCTATGAGAAGATGCTGATTTGGCAAAATCGAAGCATGCTGTAGAACCACGTCAAGGTTGAAGCCATTTCATTTGGAGAAGTGACCAAAGCAAATCTTTCCCCTGAGGTTAACATTTCCCCTCTTGACCTTACCAAAATATCTCGCAATGATTTTTTTTGTTTGTTTGTTTCTAAGCAACATTTGCATTTCTAAAATAATATTTTTTGATCACGGTATAAATGATAATACCAAGCAAACCAGGTGGAATCAACATGAAATGATTTGGTTGACCGCAAAATGCCAAGTTTTGCTTAACAGGAAATGCCATGTGGTGATTTGCAACAAAAGCAAATTTCAGAAATGTAGAATGTCCTGCAAAATGGGGATGTCAACATTGGCACAACTCTACCCCCAAACACAGTGGGGAAAGGATGCCTGTCTTCTGTGTATAGCAGTTTAGACCTACAGGAACCACAGAGAGGGACTTCTTATGCCCATGTGCTGTGGTTCAGTGAACGACCGTGGAAAGTGGGATATTTAAGGGGTCGGCAAGGGTGTGGATAGTAAAACTGTGAACTGCAAAGATTCACTGGTTCACAGATCCATTATGGGGAGAGATGCAGCAGGTTGCAGCTACTGCTACCTCTAGGCTTGGATGCTATGGTGATGGGCACTATAGAAAAACCCCAGTTGGAGCACGAGCTTCTAACGGCCGCTGTTCCTGCTGCCCTCTTGGAGAAATGATGCCCTTCCCCAAGGACCCATATATTTCCTCCTGTTCATACCTCCCTAGTTTGGCATTTGGGAGTGCAGTTTGCACATGTGAGACCTGGTATCCCCGAGAGTAGCAGTCCTAGTCAAGCTATCCCTGCAGTGTAAAGGTTTAACACCTCTTCTCTTCTGAACATGAATGCCCGGCCTTGCGAATAGGATAATGCACAGACGTCCAACAGCCTTGAAGAAGGAGCAGATGTCACTGCGTATTGGTGGGGGGAGTGGACCAAATGGACGGCGTGCACTAGGACCTGTGGGGGAGGAGTCAAGTCCCAGGAGAGGCATTGCCTCCGGCAGAGGTACTGTGAGAATAATCGAGTGATGCCTGCATGCTGAAGGGCCCTGTGCCAGAGGATGTTAGGCAGAGCACCTTTCTGCTCTTGCTCATAGATTCATAGATGTGAGGGGCTGGAAGGGACCTTGCAAGATCATCGGGTCCAGCCCCCCTGCACTAGGCAGGAAAAGACAACTGGGGTCAGGCAACCACAGTGCAATCTGTGGACCTTAGTTTTTGTAGGCGAGAGGTGGACGTGGCGTGGTTGCTTGCACCACAGTAAAAGCAGCACGGATAGGGGGAGCTGACTTGCAATCCCTGGAGAAGGGAGATCACCAAACCACAG